CAATTGAGTCCAGATTTACGACTGGCAGCTTATTAGGTTGTTCTTTGAATCGCATCCTGATGTAGACTGTTGTAAAAGGTATAAATGCAGAGCTTATATAACCTTTCTGTCATTCTATTTTAAACTTTCATAGAGTAAGGTATGATTATTTATCATCGCTCCCGAGGGAAAGGTTTAGTCAATAGTCTTAAAAATAAGTTACCATTTGAATTACATCTGCCTGGTTATCAATATTGTGGACCAGGCACAAAGTTAGCAAAACGTCTACAAAAAGGTGATCCGGGTATTAATCTTCTGGACGCCGCTTGTAAGGAGCACGATATCTCATATTCGAAAAATCGAGAAAACGTAGAAGCAAGAAACGTTGCTGATAGAGTTTTAGCTGAGAAGGCGTGGGAACGTGTTACAGCCAACGATTCCAATATAGAAAAAAAATTGTAGCACCGAGAATCTTGCCTGTACCTTCAAAAATTGGTGGTTTACTACCATTAATTCCAATTTTTGCTGGATTAAGCGCCCTTGGAACACTTACTGGAGGTGTAGCAGGTGTATCAAAAGCTGTAAATAGTGCAAGTGCAGCAAAAGATAAATTAAAAGAAGCTCATCGACATAATAAAGCAATGGAAGATATTGCACTTGGTAAAGGTCTACATTTGAAACCCTATCGACAAGGATCAGTCCTATCAGGCCTTCATTTAAAACCTTATCAAAGAGGACAAGGAATAAAAAAGTGTTCAAAAAAATTTTTTTTTGATAGTTCCTAAACGAGCACTAACTGACTTTGAGTTGCTCAAGTATGTTAAAGACTAGAAAATTTCTAACTTTAGAGGGGTTTTTATGCGAAATGAATTGCCGATAACAGGGCCGCGAAAAAATGAATCAGCTATTATTAATTTAGATGATAAAGATGGTTCTGGAATCCATTGGGTTGCATATGAAAAAGTTAATAATAAAGCTGAATACTTTGACAGTTTGGTAATCTTCAACCACCATTTGAACTTGTTAGTTATTTAGGTTATAATACTCTAATACAATACAATCATAAAAATTATCAAGATTATAATACTTTTCATTGTGGTCATTTATGTCTTAAGTTTTTATGTGGACAACTTGAAATCATACAAAAATATATTCTATATAAATGATGGTATTTATATAACCTAATCAGTTTATAAAAAATCATCATCATGGATGAATCGTTTACATTAACTATCTCTGGCAATTCATCTATTAGGGAGGCTGAATATTTTCCTCCAATAGAACTATTGCCTAATAGAAATTATGTACTTGGCTTAGTTGAATTGTTAACTTTCAATTCAATTCCTAATATTGATGAGGGTAAAAATAAATTATATATTGATAATCAAGTAATTACTATACCCCCTGGTAGTTATGAAATTGAAGACTTACCAGTAGCCATTCTCAAAATAAATGCTATTAGAATTGAATGTAATATTACTACTGGTGCATACATTAACAATAAAAAGGTACACACAATTCATGAATTTTTTCCAGTTGTTCCTGCAGGATATAAGATAGTGGAAGTACCATCACACGTCATTTACCTTCCAGTTGCCGTAAAGACTATACATAATATTCAACTACGAATCATCGATCAAGACGGAGATTTAATAAATTTTCGAGGTGAAACTATAACAATTCGATTACACGTTAAATCAGTGTAATGGGTATTATATTTCATACAAAAACTGGTGGAAACTATATAAACGAGTCACAATGTCAGAATACTATCCATATGGTAATTTGAATTTAAATTTTAATCAAGGTCAATTTTCTATTCTTTATGATATGTATTGTAATTTTCAATCATCATACCATGGAAAAGAACCTGAGCCTTTGCTAAACAGAAATAACTTTAAAGATTATGTACCACTAGCTGTCATAGATTGTTCAAAATAAAACGAATTTTTAAAACAGTCATCTGTAGATGTACGCCTGGAATTTGAAGCTAGTGATAATTTTCCCAATAATACAGCTGCATACTGTTTAATAATTCATGATCGTATTATCCAATATACACCAATCAGCGGCGTTGTTAAAAAAGTATCATGATTGGTGATTGTAATAGCCAATCAGAAGAGAGGCTTACTTAATATATAATTTTTTTATTAACTTGATGGTAAATAATCAATAAAGTAAAGTAGTTCCATCTATTAAGTGTTTGACCAGCTAATTTGGTCGGTAAAGCAGAGCATCTATTACCAATAAACATTGTACCGCCAAAATTTAAAAATTCTTATAGCACAATTGACCTAATCGACAGTGGCGCCATCTGTTGGGTGTCCGCTCAACTAATTTGGTCGGTAAAACAGGGATGGGTAGCTCTCACTTACCAGCTGCTGATAAAGTAGGAATCTACCTTACCGACTGGGGGTAACTTAGCCGAGATCAGAACCTGGGGCAGTATCCCTCTAGCCTTACTACTAATATGGCTTCAAATTCGTAATCTACGACCCTAAATACCACCGAGTAGCAAAACTCAAAAGAATTTAAACGGTTTTTAAGAAATCTGTCCGCCATATTGTATCCGCAATTTTAAATTTCGAAAATCTGACTTTTAATTAGTAATCAGGGACCCCAAAAACTCCCGAGTAACAAGATTCAAGAGAATTTAAACGGTTTTAAAATTTTTCGTTTGCCATTTTCGATCCGTCATGTTGAATTATTAAAACCTAACCTCAAATTTGTAATCAGAAAACCAAAAAACTGCTAAGTAACAAGTTTCAAGCAAATACGATTTTTTAATCAAGCATACATTCCTAAAGATTTGAACTAGAAACTCAATGATACATTAGGAGTTAAATACACGCTCCCCCCAATTAGTGCATGAAGGTTGAAGGTTTAACATTTATTTTGAGCCCTATTAAAGCTTTCTATGCCCTCACGTTTTCGTTTTATATTACTTCAAAAAGTGTCAAAAAGCCATTTTCGACACTTTAACCTTAATTTTTAGAAAACTAAACAAATTAAAAAATTTTTTTTTCTTGATTTTAAATCGGTCAACTGGAACTCGAGAAAAATTTTTTTATTGAAGACTACTTAAAAATTAAATTATTAATAACAATAACAAAAAAATTATTTTTCAATAAAAATTTCAGGACTTTTTTCTTTGACTTTTTTGACCCTATAAAGAGTAAAAAAAATTATTTAAAAAAAAATTTATTTTAGGTGATTTGTTTCAAAAATTCTGGACCAACTCTGATAAAAATATGTCATATTAGGTGTGCTCACCTTGGATGTTAAATTATTTTTTGGACAAAAATACCATATTCGAAAAATCATCCGTAAATTTTTTATATTTGATAAGTGTTATAGCTCTGGACAGTACTTTTTGAACGGCATATAAAACTGATTGTTGAATGTTTTTTGTTTAAAAATTTTCCCAAAAAACAAAACCCGGCTCAACCTACATACGGGCATATTTCTAGAACTATTAAACTTTATGTTATCGCTCACTGTGATACCTTGAATTTTTTAAAAGTAATTTTGCAATACCATAATTTGACAAATTATAGGGCTTTTTAAATGTATTATTGGTTAAATATTAGGGTTCCGTACACCTTCAATGTACGGACGGAACCTTTATGAAAAGACTCTTGCGTCCGTTCCAGCTATGTGTTCCCCCCCCCTTGCGGCTACGGTATTTGATATAGAGAGCTGAAATTTGGTACATACATGTATTTTTACGTGAAAATTACAGGAAAATATAGCGAGACCGAAAAAATTGCAAAAAATGACCTTGTCCCCCCCTTAACTTCTACATTTTGGTATATGAAGAACTGCAATTTAGTACACATACGTAATTTTTCGTGTAGCTTGCAGGAAAAAAATAGCGAGATAGACTGGATTTGATGGCTACGAGCTAGAAAGAAAAGAATTTGGTTTTTTTCAAACAAATTTCAAAAAATGACCCTGCCCCCCCTTAACTTACACATTTTGCTATATGAAAAACTGCAATTTAGTACACATACGTATTTTCCGGTCTAGATTACAGAAAAAAAAATATAGCATGTCCGATTGGATTTGATAGCTACGAGATAGAAAGGAAATAAATCGTTTTTTTTCGAAAAAATTGCATCTTTCTAGGTCCACTGCAAAAAAAGTTAATATAAATAACAATAAATTGTTTAAACAATTAAACAATGAGTAGTATAACTATGTCACTCTCAGGAATTAGTACCTAAGGCTGCCGCTAGATGGCGCCACTGTCGCTTACCGCTGGTCGGTATTTACCCACAGTCGGTAATGTAGATATTAGTTCTGCCGGCTGTCACTAGATGGCGCCACTGTCGGTCGGTATTATCGTCAGTCGGTAATGTAGATTTCTGCATTATCAGCAGTCGGTAATGTAGATCCCTGACATGAATTTTACCTCGGTCGGCAAGGTAGGAAACTGTTTTACCGACCAAGTGGACAAGTGACTATGTATAGTCACCATGTCTAAGTGGCGCGCAAGTCGCACATGTGAGTGTGTGTATCGGTGAGATTTGGTATATAAAGAAGGGTTGGACACAGTAGTGACATTATCAGCATTCTCTTGGAGCAACTCGGAAGGAGCAGCAGAAGCAGTCGGCAAGCAGAGATATCTTGGTGGAGAGGAAAAGAGGGATAGCAGCGCAGGGCAGTCGAGGCGTGCAGCATCGTTGAAGCAAGCGGCGGAGGAGAAGAGGGGGTGACCGCGGAAGGCAGTGGAGGCGCTCAGCATTGTAGAAGGAGAGTACTGTAGAGGAGGAGGGTGGGGGTAGATCTGTGGAAAACAGTGGAGGCGTGCAGCATTGTTGAAGGAGAGTTAGAAGCGACTTTGAATTTAGTTTTAAAGTAAGATTATTAGTATATATATCAAGGTTCTGTAGCGCAATGGGTAACGTTCCTGAGTTATAATCTGAGATTTTCGGGTTCGTCTCCCAGCAGAATCATTTTTTTTTTTAAATAGTATGAAAAAATTTTATGCTTACACATACTAATTTTTTATTTATAGAATGGCTGGTAAGCGCACAGTAGTTTCCGAGTTGAGCAATGAAGTTAGAAAAAAGAGAAGGATAAATGCATCGCTGCTGCATGAATGTGAAATACTTCTTAAATCTACTGATGATGCATCGAGTTTATTACCATTACTAAATAACGATGTCGACAGGACTCAATTTGTGACTAGATGGGTTGCTGTTTGTGAAAAGAATCTAGAAACATTAAGAAGTGTACTAAATGATTTACATTTTTCTTCAGAAAGGGAGAGATGTTTAAACCTGATACAAGAATTTGTTTGTCTTCACGCAAAGTTTGAGAATTCTTTAATACAAGGAGCTGGAATTCAACGTGCAATTCCTGAAGTAAATAGGGATGGTATAAATGATCGTGTTCGCTGGGCTGATTGTGAAAATGCTTTCAAGTGTCGGCTTCAAACAAGTATAATTATCAACCTGGTGCACTTAGATATAAGTGCTTTTTTAGATGATGCATGTGTACTTTTTGAAGATTTCATTAAAAAGGTTTTACAAAAGCATGATTCACTGAAAGTTTATGCTGTGCTTACAACAAAGTTTAAAAAAATTATTAATGATGAAGAGAAAGTTGAGCCCAAGTATTTTAATGTGAGAAGTAATATAATTTTTCCAACAACTGTTTTAATTGAATGGTATAGCAAAAATGTTAAAGAGCCTATATTAAAACAAGTGGAGGAGTTTGAAGAGAAGGAATCACAATGGACACTTCATTCAATTACAAAATTGGAAATCAACGTTAACAAATATAATGCAATACGAGTTGGGTCCTACATTGATTTACCTATCGAAATCAAAGCAAAGCGTGCATGTATAAATGTTAAAAATATGGATACAATGTGTTTTAAGTGGGCTGTTTTATCAGCTTTACACCCAATAGTTCAACACCCAGAGTTGATGAATAATTACTTCAGATATGGAAATGAATTGAACTTTACCGGAATCGAGTTTCCTGTTTCTTTAAAAGATATAACAAAATTTGAAAAACAAAATGACATCTCTATTAATCTGTATGGACTTCGCTTAATAAACAAAAAGTACAACACAGTCTCATTACACTTGACTTCAGAAAAAAAGGCAAGACATATTAATTTACTAAGAGTGGAAAGTCACTATGAGAATGAGGTTGACAGTGATAATGCAGCAGGAGGATCAACTCTCACAACTATTCCTGCTGCTTCTGATGTTATTGTACCAATTAATTACCATTATGTATGGATTAAGAACTTGTCCGCGCTTGTAAGTTCTCAAGTTTCATCCAATCGACATAAGAAACACATCTGTGATCGATGTCTTCATTACTTTGTCACGGAGGAGAGATTAGCCAGACATGAGGAGGAGTGCAAGACATTAAATGAGTGTAAAATAAACCTTCCCAAACCAGGACAGAATTTTATTCAGTTTAAAAATTATGGAAATAGAGAAAAAGTTCCATTTGTAATCTACGCTGACTGTGAGTGTTTGTTGAATCCTGTCGAAGATGAAGAAACCAATTGTAATACTGAAGTGATTCAACATCATGAAATGTTCAGTATTGGATATTATTTAAAATGCAGTTATGATGATTCGTTATCCAAATACAATTCCTGCCCAGATGGAACAGATGCTGCCAAGTGGTTCGCCCAGGAGTTGAAACAGTTGGCTGGAACTCTGGACAATATCTTTAAAAACCCTATTCCAATGGATAGATTGACACATGACGAGATTGAAGCTTTTGTTGATGCTCAAATATGTCATATTTGTGAAGGACCATTTTTACCACGTGAGAAGAAAGTTCGAGATCATTCCCACTTAACTGGTAAATATCGAGGTGCAGCTCATGAAAAATGTAATTTAAATTATCAAGATTCACGAGTAGTACCAGTTGTATTTCACAATTTGAGTGGGTATGATGCTCATTTTATAATTAGAGACATTTGTTTAGAATTTTCGGGAAAGATTGAACTTTTACCACTGAATAAAGAAAAATATATTTCTTTTACTAAATATGTAAAGGAAACGGAAATCAAATTTCGATTTATAGACTCATTTAAATTCATGGCATCGTCTTTGGAGAAATTGGCATCATACCTATCCGAGTATAAAATTGTGAATCAAGTATTTTCAAACTTCACCTCTGAAGAAATTGAATTACTTACACGTAAAGGGGTTTTACCGTATGAATATTTGGATTCTCGTCAAAAATTAGAAGAAACAAACTTACCTGCTAAAGAAAAATTTTATAGTACATTGAATGAGAGTACGGTTTCTGATGAAGATTACTTACATGCCCAACGTGTTTGGTCTACATTTAATTGTTCTAATCTCGGTGAATATGTTGATTTATACATGAAAACAGATGTTTTACTATTAGCCGACATCTTTGAAAATTTTAGAGATCAGTGCTTACAAGCTTATAGACTTGATCCTGCTCATTACTATACTACACCGGGATTAACTTGGGACGCGATGTTAAAATATACTAATGTAAGGTTAGAATTGTTGACAGACATTGACAAACTAATGTTTTTTGAACGTGGTGTGAGAGGAGGTATAAGTCAATGTAGCAATCGCTATGCTTGTGCTAATAATCCGTTTATGGAAAATTTTAATAAAAATGAGGAGGTCAAGTACATTATGTATTTTGATGCAAACAATCTTTACGGTTGGGGTATGGTACAACCACTCCCTTATGGTGGATTTGAGTGGGTTCAAGTTGACGACAATTTTGACTTTAATATATCAGATGATTCACCTTTTGGCTACATTTTAGAAGTAGATTTAGATTATCCAATAGAATTGCACAACAGTCATAGTGATTTTCCATTCTGCTCAGAACACTCAAATCCACCATCGGAATCAAAACAAGCAAAGCTTTTAACTACATTGAATCCTAAGCGCAAGTACATTATCCATTATAGAGTATTAAAACAAGTTCTTGCTAATGGACTCAAGTTGGTAAAAATTCACAGAGTTATGCAATTTAACCAATCAACGTGGCTTAAGCCTTATATTGACTTTAATACTGCAAAAAGAGCTAAAGCGACAAATGAATTTGAAAAGAATCTGTTTAAACTCATGAATAATGCCGTTTATGGAAAAACCATGGAAAATGTACGCAAACACGTCGATGTAAAACTAGTAACTAAGTGGGAGGGTCGCTATGGAGCTGAGGCTCTGATATCTAAACCAAATTTTCACAGTCGGTCAATTTTCTGTGAAAATTTGGTTGCAATTGAACTAAGAAAAACCGAAATTTTGATGAACAAACCAATTTACATTGGTTTTGCAGTACTCGATGTATCCAAGTTACTTATTTATGACTTTCATTATGACTACATGTTAAAAAAGTATGGTGAATCTTGTAAGTTGATGTATACAGATACCGATAGTTTAATTTATGAAATAAAGTGCGCTGATATTTATGTGGATATGAAGGAGGATATTCATAAGTTTGATACGTCGGATTATCCAAAGGATAATATTTATAATATTCCTCTAGCCAACAACAAAGTACTTGGACTTATGAAAGATGAATGTAGTGGAAAAATAATCACAGAATTTGTTGGTTTAAGGAGTAAGATGTATAGTATTCGTGTAAACGGTCAGGATTTTACAAAGAAGGCTAAGGGAGTTAGATCGTTAGTTGTAAAAAAATATATCAATTTCAATGATTATACTGACTGTCTACAAAATTTTGCAATTCAGACAAGAACTCAACATGTAATTCGATCACGACTTCATAAAGTTGAAACTGTTAAACAACTTAAAGTTGCTTTAAGTCCAATGGACGACAAACGATATTTATTACCAGATAGCTATGATACTCTTGCTTGGGGACATTATAGAATAGAGGAAAGAGATTAAGCTTATAATGTATGTGTGTGAAAATTTGTAAATATAAAAATTGTTACTAAATAAATAGACATTTTTACCAGATACATTTAATTTTATTCATTTATTCCTAACAAAATATTACAATTTTTAAAAATTTTAAAAGTAATTAATACATATCAAAGCTTAAAATTAGTTTTAACATTTAGTTAATATTATTTCATTGTTGATTCATTAATGATTCATTATTGATTCATTAATGATTCATTATTGATTCATTAATGATTCATTGTTGATTCATTATTGATTCATTATTGATTCATTATTGATTCATTAATGATTCATTAATGATTCATTAATGATTCATTAATGATTCATTAATGATTCATTAATGATTCATTAATGATTCATTAATGATTCATTAATGATTCATTAATGATTCATTAATGATTCATTAATGATTCATTAATGATTCATTAATGATTCATTAATGATTCATTAATGATTCATTAATGATTCATTAATGATTCATTAATGATTCATTAATGATTCATTAATGATTCATTAATGATTCATTGTTGGTTCATTAATGATTCATTAATGATTCTTTTTTTTGTTTTAACATTAGTCTGTTTTATCTATCCAACTATTATGAGTACTATCGAAGCCTAACCACTTGACAAAAATTTTATTTCCACGCCTCTTGAGTACTTTTTCAACAAGATATACATCGGAATATTTCACTTTAAGAAGTTCCTCTTCATAGAATCCTCCGCTAATTTGTTGATCTTGGTAGTCCTTTAGCAAGTAAGTCACAGGTCGAGTTTGTTTAACTTTATCAATAGTAAATATTTCAGTTGTCCAATTCGGTGTGTAACCCTTCTCAAACACATTTTTATACTTGCTAACTCGAACTTTGTCTCCAATTTTAAATTTTGATTTTCTGAAAGGTATTTTTCTGAGTTTGAAGAATCGCTCTTTCAAAGTTTCAACATGATCTCCAGTGACATCTTTGGGTTTCATTCCAATTGTGCGATGTTTTGTATCATTATACTTGGAAATGAGATTAGGTAATATATCACACCACTTGTAATTTCCTCTGAAACTAAACTGAATCCACATTTTCCTTTTGAGTGTTCGGTTAAAACGTTCCACGATGGATGCTTTTAGGTTACTATAGGTGGAATAAAAATTAATTTTTCTCAATTCCATTAAAGCCTCAAATTGTGAATTATAAAATTCTTTTCCCTTATCACAATGCAAATTTTTTGGACTACGTCCTTTTGCAAATATAGATTTCATTGCATCAGTCACATCTTTTCCAGTTTTATTCTTTACAGGAACAGCCCAAGCGTACTTGGAAAATATATCTATAACTGTAAGTAAGTACTTGAATCCTTTATTAACTTTGGAATATGGTATCATTTCAACCAAATCTGCTTGCCAAGTATCATCAATGTCACGCATTTCAACTCGACGTCGAGGATAATTTTTTCGAGCTTGTGTGTGAAGTTCATTCACTACTGTCAACTTTTTGTCATTCATTTTCAAGAGCTCTCAAACGACTGTCCAGTTGACCAATAATTTCAGCATTTTTATATGATAAATCTTGATTTATTTGTTTTTCAAGATTGTTTAATTTTTCAGACACGGAGCCTTCAAGAGTTTTTAACAGCACATTACCGTTGTCTGTCTCCAATAAATTTTTCTTTGTTTGTATTTCAAGAGTTTTCGTTTCATTTTCAAGAACTCTCATACGAGTATCTAGTTCACCAATAATTTCAACGTTTCGATATGATAAATCTTGATTTATTTGTCTTTCAAGATTGTTTAATTTTTCTGACACTGAGCCTTCAAGAGTTTTTAACAGCACATTACCGCTGTCAGTCTCCAATACATTTTTCTTTGTTTGTATTTCAAGATTTTTCGTTTCATTTTCCAGAACTCTCATACGAGTATCTAGTTCACCAATAATTTCAGCGTTTCGATATGATAAATCTTGATTTATTTGTCTTTCAAGATTGTTTAATTTTTCTGACACTGAGCCTTCAAGAGTTTTTAACAGCACATTACCGCTGTCAGTCTCCAATACATTTTTCTTTGTTTGTATTTCAAGATTTTTCGTTTCATTTTCCAGAACTCTCATACGAGTATCTAGTTCACCAATAATTTCAACGTTTCGATATGATAAATCTTGATTTATTTGTCTTTCAAGATTGTTTAATTTTTCTGACAATGAGTCTTCAAGAGTTTTTAACAGCACATTACCACTGTCAGTCTCCAATACATTTTTCTTTGTTTGTATTTCAAAATTTTTCGTTTCATTTTCCAGAACTCTCATACGAGTATCTAGTTCACCAATAATTTCAGCGTTTCGATAAGATAAATCTTGATTTATTTGTCTTTCAAGATTGTTTAATTTTTCTCCTATAGAGTCTTCAAGAGTTTTTAATAATACATTACTGTTGTCAGTATCCAATATATTTTTCTTTGTTTGTTTTTCAAGGGTTTTCGTTTCATTTTCAAGAACTCTTAAACGAGCATCAATTTCACCAATAATTTCTGCTTTTCTATATGATAAATCTTGATTAGTTTGTCCTTCAAGATTTTTTAATTTTTCTCCTATAGAGTCTTCAAGAGTTTTTAATAACACATTACTGTTATCAATGTCTTGAAAATTTTCATTTATTTGTTTTTCGAAATTTTGTAGTTTATCTGTTACCGAAGCTTCAAGAATTTTTAACAATACATTACTGTTGTCAATGTCTAACCTTAATGAAGACGTGACTTGATAAACTAGTCGCACTTCGTTCTCTATCATACGTTGAGTAAGTAATAAATTAACTGCGTCGCCCTCTGCTTTAGCTTTTGCAAGGTTACAAATTCTTTTTCCTCCACAGTCATAATTGTCTTCTGAATCTACTTTAAAACCAACTCCAGGTGGTCCAGGTGGTCCTCGTTTTGCTGCTACAGTTCCTCCTCTATTGAGGGGATGACCGAATACATCAATGCTCATTTTGAAACTGATATGTAGTTGATAAAACAACTTCTAATATATAATTTTAGCTTCACGTAATTCTTCAATAATGGACATAATTTCATTATTATGACTTGGATTACCAGCTGCTTGTGATGCAGTAAGTAGTCTTAAACGATCAACTAACTCATTTGGATCATCCCAATAGATGTAGTCTGGTTGAAAATTTCTTTTTGTAATCATAAATTTTGGAAGTGATGTACCAGTTTTTGACTTACTTTTCGGAGTTACAGATTGAGGAAATAGATTTGAAATAACATTAGTGTATTTAAAACTTTTACTTATATTAATAGGTTCAGAAGCACTGTATTTTTTTCTATGTGCATTGGAGTCGATGAGAATTTGCTTATAATTATTTATATCATGATCACTAATGTGTGAATTCTCCGGTTTATTTTTAAATAAAAGTTCCAATAATCCAGGGGTAATGGTAAAACGTCTATTTCCAACATTCAAAAACTGTTGATTAAAAATTATTGGTTTATCACCAATCAGAAGTGATCCATCTCGCATTTTACGTACTCCATATACTAGATCCAAACACTGTTTTCTGTTGTGATCTATCAAGTAAATATACTTATTTAGCAGTTTATCATACTCAAAGTCTGGGATTATTGTTGATTCACTATCTTCAATACTCTTAAAACTCAAATTATCATCTTCCTCTTTACTTTCACCTTTTTCCTCCTTTTCTATCCTTTCCGTTTTAAAATTTTCACGCTTAATGTCATTTATGGTAATAATTTTTTGTAAAGGTTCAACTATAGGTTTGAAGGTTTCGTTCAACAGATTTTCAGCATTTTCTTTTCCTAATTTAAATAAACGATGTTTACGTCTAATTGCCTCACTAGCTTTAGCAATTTGATGTAAATATTCTTTCTCTTTATTATACATCTTGATATATCAAGGTCTCAATTTAAACTAAAACAAATTCAAAAATTATCTTTATTTATAGTGAAATAAAACAGTCAAAACCTTTTCTATACCTTCCCTCATTTAAATTACTATCTTTATCAATTACAACAAATCCATACTTGTCAGAATTCCAACAAGCTGAACATAATTCACGAAATTGAGAAAATGTCATATCCGTATTCACATGATCATCATAAACATGTTTTAAATTTTTTTCATCTTGACGAAAAAGAACTAACAAGTTCACATTATCTCGTACTAAATGTTTTGGAATTCTTGCATAAGTTTGACATAAATAGAAACTATCAACGCTTACATGTCTACCCATACAAAAAAATGCTCTAATATTATCTTGTTTTTCACATGCCACATCATCAAATATAAATATAGAGTTTGGTTTTGCATTTTGAGGAGAAATTACTTCTTCATGTTCACTGAATGGTAAATACTCAACTCCATCAACTTCACTCACAACTTGTTCCAAAAATTTATACTTTGGTTGTTGCAAAGATTTTGAATAAAGATAAATATTATCAAATCTGAGACCATTAGGATGTAATATTAAAGACAAAAGTACATTTGTTTTCCCACAATTTGATGGACCACAGAATATTGCACGAATACTGCCTGACAATAAACTACCATGACGTTTCACTTTCTTCTCCTGTTGTTGAACAATTGAGTCAAGATTTACGACTGGTAGCTTATGAGGTTGTTCATTGAATCGCATCATAGTTTAGACTGTGGCAAAAAGGTATAAATACACCTCTTTTATAACCTTCCATTCATTTCAATTCCAACCTTTACAGATGCAAGTATGACTGTACATCGCAAAATTAGCGGTAAAGGTCTAGTGAATAGTCTTATCAACAAATTACCATTTGAATTACATCTGCCTGGTTATCAATACTGTGGACCAGGTACAAAATTAGCAAAACGTCTTGCTCGAGGTGATCCTGGTGTGAATCCTTTGGATTCTGCTTGTAAGGAGCACGATATTTCATATTCAAAAAATCCAGATAACATTGAAGCAAGAAACGTTGCTGATAGGATACTAGCTAAAAAGGCATTACAACGTGTT